GCGTTTAGACGCGTCCAGGAAAAACGCGTTTAAACGCGCCTAGGAAAAACGCGTTTAAACGCTAGCAAATGGTGCATTTTCGATGCACTCAGACGCGTCTAGTAAAAACGCGTTTAAGCGCGCCTTCTCCTGATAAAACGCGTTTAAGCGCGTCTTGGAAAAACGCGTTTAAACGCTAACAAATGCTGCATTTTCGGAGCGATTAAACGCAGCATAAAACGCGTTTTCAGACGCGTCTACGATCGAAAAATATTTACATGGGTTAACTGGGACCATTTTACAATCAAAAGATCGTCCGCTTATGGGAGAAAAGAAAATATTTTAAGTTAGTGAAGAAGATTGATGTTATATGTATACTACCAGTGACAACAAAATAAAAGAGATGAACGACTTGTGGATAAAATGTCCGTTCACAGAATATCGTATGAACTTCGTTTGGTGCGAGTTGATTCTTTATCTTGTTTCACTCACATATTCTGAATTTTAAAATAATTATTTGTATCTATCAGAGTTAAATGAATTTAATAAATCAAGATCAAACAGAGATATTATACATGAAGTAAAAAGTGACAAAATTGCAAAAATAGTATAAAATAATTCGTGAGTACAATAAAAAACTGATGAATAAAAATAAATATGAACAGTTAGTTCTCAAAAATCTGTTTCCTGAATATAATAACTCAAATAATTACCTCTAAATATTAAAAACAACTACGTATCGATAATCAAACATTTACAGATAAAAGAGTCTGTGAATTTAGGCTATAGCCTGAATTATAATAGATAACCAAAATTTGCCTGATAAAAATCTCAGTATGCGTATAGCAAATAGATTCTACTTACGAGGGAATCTATTTAACTGTTCAATCGCTTTTTTCATCAAACCTAGTAGAATGTAGGTTATAGACCACGCTCACTCAGAATATCTATATGAGACAGGCTGCTAGGCCTTTCTCGAGCTGTTTTTCGGAAAACCATTTTTCTGGAAACCTCGGAAAATCCCAAAACTCTCTCCTAACAAGTCACGATTGTAGCCCACGAAATTCTGATAAAAATGAGACATCTCCCATCTGTACATGATTCGTCTTTGCAAAATTATAGAATTTACAAGAAAAGCCCAAAACTCATTTTTCCTTTTTCTCTCTGGAGCTTTGTGCTGACAATGAACATTTTGGGCTTTTGTCTATATGGACAATGAACGATTGGACAGTTAAATAGACTCCCTCGTTAGTTAAATCTATCATGAGATAAAAGTCTTATAAAAAGATTATATTTAATCTTGAAAACTATTAACTCAAATTTTAGAAAAACTTACCACTATTTTCAATTGTAGCAATTTTTCTAATAACAATCTTCTTAGTGAATAGAAAATGAAATATTTCTAAATTAGAAGAGTGTTACCTAATTGATCAAAATCAATGAATAATATTAAAATTAGACTAAATTATTAGTAAAATCAAAATCAACAATTGAAAAGAGATTATATCTACTTGTATTAGTTTTTGAGTTCTTTTCGAATTGCAATTTGTTGTAAAAATAATATAATGTATTCACTTAGATAAGCAAATGAATTATCTTCTGTATCAAGTGAATGCTCAAAACAAATATTTAAAAGTTTATAAAATATATCAAACATCTCATTGTTAAAGTTTTCATTGTTATTCCATTCATTAAAGCAAGATATAATATATCCATAATATACATCGTTACGAGGAGAAGACTTTTGTTGAAATCCAATAGACAATTCATTAAAATTTGTAGTTGAAGATGTTGAATATTTCTTAATAAATTTTATTAATATAGTATTCCAACACTCATATGAAACTAATGGTTTTCGACTTATTTCATTTTCCGTATCTTGAATATCTTTAGACAATATTTTCTGCTCTCTATTTAGCCAATCGTTTATTATTTCAATAAATACAATTATTTTCCAATCTATTTCATAATTTAATCTTTGACGATTAGACGAACGAACTCCAGAACTTTGTTTATTGAATAATACTAATGCTAGGCCATGGTCTGTATTCACTTCTAATCTTAAATTGTTTTCATTGATCAATTTTTGTAGAGCATTACACATCGCCATACCAAAAATTCGATTAGTTGAAGACTTTTCTTCTTTTCCTCGTAAATTTTCTAATTTAACTGCTATCAAGTAGCGACCAAATATCCACGGGAAACTAAGAATTTGTTGACGTCTACTTGTTGCTTTATTTGCTTCTTGATAACAATGATAATAACAAGCAGATGAGAGTGCTCTGTAATGATCGAGACAACTATCACAGTATTCTTCTTGTGAACAATTAGCCGATGGACAAATGTTTATAACATATAAATAGAAACCGTGTTTCATGCGATCAATTAATTGTTGAAATTCACATTGAGCAGAATCTTCAATCTCATTTTGTTTAGATCCACGACAGAATAAATCCGTTTCATGTTGTAAGTGATAGAGACTAAGAATTTCTAATAATTCTTGTTTATAAACATAGAAAAACTTTTCAGCTATTCCTATGTGTTGTTTATAGTTTTCATGAAGTAACAGTTCATCAATGTATATTTTTTGCTCGTATTTTTCTATAGTGAGAGATTGTTCATCTTCATCATTAGGAGTTGCTATATGAAAATGTTTCAAATGTCTATGATAAGAAAGTAACTTATTCCAACCCGAAATTGATCGACAAGATGCACGATATAGTTTCCCTGAAACAAATATAAATAAATTCTGTACTTTTATGAGACAAATCATCTTGGTGGTTCGAACCATCTTCTTGAAAGTCAATATCTATCTTGCAGGCATCGTAATAACAAAAATCAAAAAGTAGGAGTAGGAGTAGGATTTTGAAGTCCGTTATGGTAGGATTTTTTGAGAGAAGCTTCGCCGCAGCACTGACCATGCTGTCCGGGGAAAATTTTTTATTTTATTTTTAAGGCGCGTGTAATTCAAAAATCAAGTATTATTTTATTTTTAGCTTCTTTATATATGATTCGATAGAGAATTTGAAGCTGATCAACAATATCGCCTTTTTAGCCTTCCCAGTGTATGTTTGCGCGTCGAAAAATTGAAAATACGAGAAGGGTCTTAAAAGCCGAAAAACGTTCCCGTTTCGAAAAAGTTGAACACTTTTTCTCCTTTTTATTTTGAAACTCTCAAACAGCTTTTTCTAATTCAGCGTTGAAAATTGAATTAGAAAATGTGCCTGTTATGCTTCCCATATGTAATGTCATTGCACGAAAAATTCATCTTCAAGAATATCTCCAAAGCGGAGACCTCATCGGAAAAAGCTGTCTAGTTGCTTTTGGTAAAAGATAGAATGTTGATTCTTGCGCTATTCGAGCGGTCTTTATTCGAACTACAAAAGTATAACTCGTTCTTTTGAAATTCCTCTCCATTGCTGAGAAATTTCACTTTTGCTAAATCAAGAGCGGAGAAATCGAAATTCTGCCCGTAATTCTCAATTTTCTCTACTAGAACTCGCTTTTTATGCAATAAAAGTATCATATTCAGAGTCAGCATCAAAATCTGAGCCGAATGATATATGATTTGAAAGTTTCCGTTGATTTTCATTTTTTGGTGAAAATCTCAGTAAATTTCGAAAAACACAAAAACAAAATTTTCACCGAAAAATGAAAATCGTACTATGGCTGTGCAATTCACTCTTATACAATATCTGATGTGCGGATATGTGTAACTTATGCATTTCTACATCGCTGTTCTAAATCAAATCTAAGGAATTTTTCCTCTCAAAACATGAGAAATGCATCATTCGGGGCAAACTGATATACAGTTCTTGCTTCTGTGTTAACCAGATTAAGAGGAACAGATCTGATTTAAAAGTATTTAGCTACTGTCTTTTGAGTACATCATACAGCATATATTGGTTGATTGGTTTTTAGCAAGAAATCCTTAGTTGCTGCCAAATGTGTGCTACCTCACAGATAATTTTTTAGCTGATAGTCTTCGATTTTAATGCAACTTACCTAATATACAAGAAGATGCATATGATTCCATATTTTTATTTTCCATAAAATCAGGTCGTTTGTTGTCTAGTCCCTTGGCTAATTCTTTGATTTGTGCCTCTGACATTGGATGTATGCCTGTTTTTCCTGAGTCTACTTCTTTACTAATAACACCGGCTAACTCCTTACATTTTTCATCATCGACACCAAGACGGTCAGCATAAGCCAAATGAAGATTTGACAAGCGTCCCAAACAATCTTGTTCAGCTATATCTAGGACAACCTTGTTGATGTCCTCACGCGTAATTGCACCTGGATGTTTTGGTAGATTGTCTTGTGTGTCATATACATACGCCTCATAGTTTTCTGTGTTTGGAACAAGATCCTCGTGCCATATAACCGCATATTCATCACCATCTAAATCTGAGCCACTTATCTCATTTGAGTGAGGACGGGGTCCTTTTTGCGGGAATACCACAACATCTTTCAAATGTCTTAATTTAGGATGATCAACCGCGTTAAATGTTCGAATATCACCCGGATGATGGCACGGGTTCTTTGTTATTGCAACTAAACAGTTGTTTAAAATTTTTGGATCTTCTCTTTGACGACGTTCACCGTTTATTTCTTCTTCATACATTGGTGTATATTGGATAAATACTTGTCCATATTCTAATACACGGTACTCATCAACAATTCCAAACATATTTCTCGCTTCCATTTTCGGAATTTTGATTCTTGTTCGTTTTAGTAACTCCAAAACATTGGTTAGACAGCATCCAATCAACAAATCTTTAAAGAATATTTCATTGACTAAATCGATGTATTTTGCTAATTTTTTGAATGGAAACACATCTAAAACTTTCTCATTTAAAAGTTTAAAGGCATATTCATTGTTTAAAAATGACTGAACAAGCCACAAAAGATTTTGATTTTGCAATACGAGAAAATTCGAATCTGGAATTCCACGATTTGAAAGTAATACTATGGTTTGACGATTTAGATACAATGGTCCTTCAATAGAAAAATGAAATGTTAAGCGTTAACTCTGTAGAATTTGTCAATAATAAACGTTCAATAACAGACGCACAAAAAGACCACTGTTCTGAATTTGAAATTTGTTTTTTCTCATCCTTGCCTATTATGGTAGAAACACTTACTTGGTGATGATACTTTACACACTTCTAACATATAATGTTCACTCTCGAATTTTTCCATACTCTCTCGAACAACTAATTGATGTTGTCGATTGTCAAGTTCTGGTTTTACGGATAAAGTTCCCTTGCAACCGTTATAACGAATCTGCATGACACTAAATTCCGAACGTCTACCAAGTTTTTGTTGGATCTAAATAGATTCAAATAATTCTACCTCATTCAGGTAAGCACATCATATTCAGTACAAGATTAATTAACGAGGGTATTCACCTGTTAACATTTTCTAAATTAAGGTGAATAATTTTTGATTATTGTAAGATACTTTTAGATAGAGCATACAGAGCATAAAGGTATCTTAATAGAGCATCCCTCGACAAGTATTAGGAGAATCTTGATGAAAATAAGTCCGATCTGAACAAAACTTTAGGAAATCTTGAGTATGTTTAAGAACAGTTATCATAGCATTTACTTATGCTTACTTATTTATACTTAATCTGTTAACATACGGTTCTGTTGATATGTGCAAGAATTCTCGACAGTTTAAGTGATGGAGAGCTAAATTTAGTCTGAGGTTGAAAGCAGGACCAAGCTAAAGCTGCTAAAGGATGATGTTTAATTTTTCATCTCGAAAATTCTTCATCAATAGGAATAATCACCATAAAATTTGGAAGGCGCTATCCACTTTCGTTTAATATATCGTCCAAATAAAAATACAAATACAGCATCTATCGTCTGGCATATTTCTCTTCTCAAAAAGTGGCTAAAAAGCTTAGATTTATGTAGAATATCAGATTAAGCTACGATAACAACATGAAAGAGCCAGATGTTTAAATTTTTTCTTTATTTTATTTCTGAAGGATTTTACCCCTGAAGTTGAAAAAATAGGGAAGAAACTTTCATTATTGTAAAAGAATGACGGCCTAAATCTAAAATTGGGCTTTTCAACGTCTTTCCCGTCTCACGAGAGAAGATCCGCAACAGTTAATCGCTTCTGTCAGCGGAAGATATACCAACAAGGCTTATGTGGTTAATATTCGCAGAATAATATATGCAAAGAAAAGGATAATAGAAGTATAACATATTAATACCGTTTCTGATTTTATGTGAGGAAGAAAACCATTCAGAAAAGCGTCATGAAAAAGATTGAACTGCTTAGGGATGATTTAATGGATATTTTCTTCCTCACATAAAGCCCGAAACGATTGTAACACGTATGTAACCATTGTAACATGATAAGAGTTATCATCCTTTTTTCCCATATATTGTTTTGCGAATATTTTCTTTTACAGAATGTGGTCAAAAACATGCTTAGGCTCTTTATTTTGGCTAGTTTAACATTTGACAATTCAAAGTCGACTACGTCGCAATCCGACCAGTCGAAACTACAATATCGAGTTATTATCCCATTGAAAATGGAGACTAACACTTAGAAACCTTCCCTCGTAAGCTTAATTCAAATAAAGGAGTAAATCTATTCTGACTTTTCATTACAGAAAAACCTGCCTGATAGTCTTTCTCCCATAAAAAAGTAATTTGGCGAAAAATTCAAAATACTTTTTTCTTCTGAGAACTACTTTCTTGATTTGTTTCAGT